AGTTAAAACAAAAACCTTACTTTTACTGGCCGTATTTTGTAAAATAGATTAGGAAAATCAACGCCTCTTGAAGTCGTAATTTACAGCCGAATGCGACAGAAATCGTTAAAAGATCCTAACAAAGTATCCCATACATCTCGTGGTGTTTGATTCAAGTATTAAATGCTCGTTTGAATTCTAAGGCGAGATTAAAAATTACGATTAGAAATGATGTTTAGTAAAAAATTGAACACAAGAATCAAGTTAAGTCGCTACATCGTTTTGTTGGAAGTGTAATATTAAAAAACATAAAAGTCAGTATAATCAAGGGACAAAAAGTCCTATGCGCTCGGGCTCAAGTAGTTGACTTAACTGTGGCAACTACTCTTTTATGCAAGCCCATGAAAACTCTTTCCTTTCCATGAAAGATTCATCAAGGCCATTCTTTTTCTCGACGATAGCAAATGCACAGTATTTTTCTTAGCACAAAGCTTTAGTCTGATTTACATGCTAAAACAGTGTCGAGTAGAAGCACTGATTGCGGATTTCCCTTCAAGCTTTAGTCGAAGTAGACTTAATCGAATCTATCATTTCACATTTTACTTTTTTGCCCTTGTAATTTACAGGCGATGTCAATGAACGATTGAGAATAACGATGTAGTGTTAACGTAATTTTGAAGATTGAGATGTAGCCAATGGTCGACACGAGCTAAGCATCTGAGAAAAATGCAAAATCATCTCGTTCCATTAGCTTCAGGCTGTAAAATAAATGTCGGTGCGGTACATACGTGCATCTGTGCGTAAGGGTCAGCTTGGGAATTCGAAAGAACGCATTTGGAGCTAGCGAGTGCGAGTAGTAGAGCCAGAAGTGGTAGTATAGCAAGAATGCATCAACAGCATTAAACGGATAAGCGCGAAAAGGGCCGAAAGTCGCATCCTCTGGAAAATCTGGAATCGATCGCGGGCGCTTTCAGAGAAGAGGAGGGCCATGGAGTCTGCGCTCAACTTCGCTTTTCTCTCTCGCGCGCTCTGTCTCTGTCTGTCTGTCTCTCTCTCTCTCTCTCTCTCTTTCTCTCCCTATCTCTCCCTCCCGGAGTGTGCGGGTCGATAACCCGAGAGAAAGAGAGAGAGAGAGAGAGAGAGTAGCCTGCCGACACTATGTATACTAGCACAGATCTGTCTTTCCTCGCGTTCGCACTATGATTCTTAATTAAGCCACTCTCTCTCTCTCTCTCTCTCTTTTTTGTACTCGCTCGCGTTTCTTCCGGAAATGGCTTGTTTTTCTTTGAGCTTCGCTCTTGGCATACTAGCCTGCCTGTCTGCTTACCCAATAGGTTTATTGAAACTCTGACTCTTAGTTTACGCCCCAGATATTTAGGCTATTTTTTCAAATAGAAATTAACATACTTGCATTTAATTACGATAAAATACGTTTTGATGTGATTGCAAATGTTATTGTAAATATTTAACTGACTTTCTTTTTGCCTGTAGCGTCGTTTGTTTTATAGACAACGAATAACTCGAGATCTTTTCTGAAATCTAATTTTCAAGGTGTATCAAATTGATACACATCGTTCGATAGTGAAGTCGAATAAACTTTGGACTGAACTTGCGGTCAACACAGACTCTTTCGTACATAAAATTAGTCGAGTAAACCGTTAAAGAACTACAAAGAAAATCGGAACTGTAGTTCGATAGAAAAAAAAATCTTCCAAAACCTAAGCCATTCGGCGGCGCGAATGCTGTTATTTTACAACGCTTTGATGTGATTCTATATCAAAAGCGAGCTTTCAAGTGAGACACGTGCAGGGATTCTCATACGAAAGGAAATGATCTGTGACATAAAAGTTGCCGTTATTTTTCCTCGAACAACTTCTTCCGTCAACGGAGAAAAACCGTTTTTTTTACGGCAGGCTGTCGCTTTGAAAAGATCTTTTCACCCTTTTAATTTTGGTCCTTTTTCGCTGAAGCTTTGAGCACTGCAAATTTTTTTTCTTTCAAGGAAATTATTCTTGGCTTGAAGTTCAACAGTTAAACTTGTTCGTTTACGGCACTGGGGAACGTTTGCGGTGTCGTTTTTTTAATTAAACTGTTTTTCTTTCTCACTCAGTCATTTTTTTGAATGATGTTTGCACGAAGAGTTCATTCCGAATAGAATTTTGAAAAATAATTTAAAAAAGGAAATGAAAAACATACGACTGGATATATCAGAAGAAAAATTCGCGCGCTTAAGCTAGCTAACCCCGACGGTTTCGTGCGAAAAAATCATTCCGCGCGTAACACTCTTGGTGTATCGTTGAAATATCCTGCATTATAAATGACTATGGGTGTTGGCATAAAAATCACGAGAGGCACATATCGCCGTGTGGAAAATTCCTAAAGGAATCGGCGCCCGTGAATCGCGGCATTCTGCGCGCTTATCAATAAACCAGCGCGCGAAATATCGCGAGCTCCTCGTGGGATTGACCGAATTTCCCACTGTGTGCGACAGGCACACGGCGCTATAAGCATACATATATATGCTTGAGGTGAGCGCGTGGCCAACCGCGGCAGATGGCTTTTACCTAAAGCCTACATTGCACGTTAATTTGCGTGTCCAGCAATGGCGCTACACCGGATGCGGACGTGTTCTTGCTATTAGTTTTTGGAATTGGAATTCTCCTTTGACACACAAATGCTCTCAGTGAAGTCTGACGAGTTTTAGTCCGTTATTAATGTTAAAATTACTTTCGACGCTGGTTGACGGGATGAAATTATATTTACAGACCGAAACTAATTAATTTTTTAAATTATATGTATTTTCGTGTCAGTGAAAATTAGTGAAAGCCTAATTATTTATGCGACTACGTCGATTTTTCATTTTTTCCGAATGTATCTCATCAATAAAATAATACGTATTCAATTCTTGTGAAATAATTAACTTTGACTTTATCTTATTTTTGTGAATGGCTTCATTATTACGTTAAAAAATATTCCAATTCAATAATTATAACAGAAATGTTGGTCGATCAACGTTTATAATGTATTAATAAATGCGATCTGTAAATGCAATCAAACTTGTTAGCTAATGTTATTCTCGAAAGTTAGGTTGTGTATAAGCGTTTTGGGAATAAGGGCTATGGTTTATGCTCGATGTTCAAATTTCCTTGCATAGTCAATCGGATTCCCTAACTTACTGTTATAATTATTCGAGATGTCATCTTGTTGAATAACAATATTAATATCAATTCCGTAATATTTTATCAACCAGTTTTCGATAAAAATACATTTCAAGGACTATCTTTTCTCTTAGCAATATCGTCTGGAACTTTCCAGCACGATTAGTGATGAAAAAAATGCACTACGTTTTCTTATTGAATGGAACCTTTCTCTCGAGAAAGGCAAGACAGATTAAACTCTCCCTTAAGTAATGGAGTAGTCGTATTTCTCGATGTCACGTTTGAATGTCATTTCAAAGTACAACGGAAAGCGTTCAATATTCATTCCACAGAAGTTGTCTTGAATTGTTTCACGGATAATCTACAGAATTTTTTTAATATTTTGTATGCTTAAGAAGTGATGGAATTTAAAAAAATTAAAATTAAACGTACATGACGGTGTATTTTCAACGGATTGCTAGAATGAGGTGTATTGATCAACATTGCTTCCTGAAGGGTATTCTTGAGTATCATTTCTATAATGATTATTAATGAGACATATAGTCGTAAGTAATTGTTTATCAAGATAAAAACGATTTTGAAAAAAATAATTGCGATCGTGATCGAAAAAAGTATAATGCATTTAGCCGAATCTGCAATACATTATTAAATACACAGCGATAATCCGTCATCCGACTGCCAATCGAATCCACGAACTTTTCAAGCCCTTTTATCGCCATTGGACGAGATGACGTTTACCCTAGAAGAGAGAGACCATTGCGAGCACTGCAATCTCAAATCCCAAGCGGGGAGATAAAAGCCGAAGGTATGAGAAACTCATCGCGAAGGGAAAAGCCGAAGAAGCGCTCGCGAAAGAAATAATCCGCCGGGCCTGTACGGCGACGGCGGCGGCGCGCAGTCAGGTGCGGCTAATCGAGCTATTAGCGAATATTGTCCAAGGGGAGAGAAGGCTTGCAAGTCGCGTATAAGAAGTCTCGCGGGCGCCATTGTTCGTCAGAATTATCTCTGCTGACGACGTCGAGTGCGCGCGGAACGCCGAGCGCCTTACTTGGCTCCAAATGAGAATGCTGCTGCGACTTATACTTCTCCCGACGCAGAATCACCGCTCGGCCTGCAGCCGCGCGCCTCCAATCTCAGCCAATCGCCGTTGTCCGACGACAGGTCGATTGTCGACGAGTCATTGTGCGATAAGATTGCAAAATCTGCGTACGGCAGGATGCATATTTCAAACGCAGGACGAGCTTCCCCGTTAAATTAGCAATTCATTCCTTTGCGAGTGCTCAATTCGATGCGACATTCGCTAAATTTGAATTTACTTGGCAAATTGTTTTCTATGCTACCCAACATTGTTAGACCAAGCGATAAATCTTTTAAATAAATGGTTGTATCTAGTAGGCGTAAGTGTAGTTCGCACTTGTTTGCTCGTAGTAAGTTTCGCGCGCGTCTTCTCTTAAAGCTGTTTGTAAGCGTCGCTGCTGGAGATAAAACTTAATTACGAATAAGTCGCTGTGCTCTTTGTCATAGCATATTTGAAACGCAGTGCGGGCGAATTATTACCTTTTTAAAAGAAAAACCAAGCCTCATTTCATTAATGTAGCTGCGACGACGTGCACAGTGAGGAAGAATCAGCAACTAGACAGGAAACGATTTTTCGGAAAATTACCCAATCAAACTCAAATTGCGGGCTCGCCAAACAAAGGAGAAAATATTCATTTGCTGAGAGCATAGTAGAACGAGGGAGAGAGATCACTGCTCGGGGGTAAAGTCTATAAGGATAGTCGCATCAGCGGAGAAAGGGGAGGGGCAATATACGCGTGATCGTTGCCGAGGTGGTTACCGCGGTAACCCGGGCTTTGTTTGAAAATGGAGCTCGATCCGGACTACACGTTCGTACAGCTCGTTCCCAGGCACTACATGGGAATCGAACATAAAGACACTCAGCACTACTTTAGGAAATGGTAATTATAAATATTTTTATTGTTTACCAGTTGCAAATAAGCTCGAGTTGTAAGCATTACCTTTCCCATTATGGTTCTCCGAATTTTTCGAAAGAAAATCGATACAGCTTAACGTTGTAAATATCGTGTCAACTGTTATTGTTCAGGGGATTGCAAGGCAACATTAGTATTCAAGATTTTTGCTTTAATCAGCCATTCCAGCCGTACAATAAGTATCATTTAGCAGAAGTGAGTGATTTTATTTCATTTTTAAAATTAATTATTTACTTCTCGAAAGTTCTTTTTTCCTAATATTGATGACCATTAATTCCAGAAATTTTTCAAGGACCAGAAGGTCGTTTGCTCTTTATTGCTCAAGCAAGGAGACTCGTGGGTCAATAAAGGTATCGGCCGTTATTGCTATCGCATGATTGGTTTTCGATGAGATAATATTTATAGACCAAAACTGTCGATTTCCTCTCAAATGAAGTTCGAAAAGAAATGGCGTCGTAAATTCTGCAAAAAGAAAAATTAATGCTTTCAGGCATCAAAGCGGCCTCGGTTCAAGTTACTCCTGTTCCATGCACGGTATTAAATACGTCATTTTTTGACAAATTACTTGATCCTGCCAACAAAATTGTCCGAGATTCTGGACTAATTAACAAGCAATGTGACACATACGTCGATGGATTTACGATTTCCGATAAGCTCCGAGGGGTCAGTGTATCAAATGAAAAATAATTATTTCTGAGTTCGAATGTACTAATTGATCACTTATTCAATGTAGATGCTTCTTGACGAGGAATGCGATCAATACAATTTGTACAGCGCCAAAGAACGAGAAGAATTCATCTTCCGTATTTTTGAGATGCTGATTCTTGGTGGAGCTCTGTGCCAGTATGAAGATGAATTGAAACCCTATCTGGATGTTACCAAGAAGATTTATAAGGAACTAGTTAGGTGAAAAATTACTTCCACTTCGTTAGCTAAACTAGTTGTACAAACTTTTTTAACCCTTTTTTCTTTATGAATAACGACAACAAAGGTCGATCTTTTTTTTTGTTCGTTAGTTACGTATCTTGGGAAATCACGCCATGCAAAACAATCAAATTTAAATAAATCTTACAGTTACGATATAAAATTCGATAAACAAGAAAAAAAAAAGAAAAGAAGAATAGATCTAACTTTTTTGGCGAACAATTTATTTCCATTACCGAAGCGCAGGATTTGAATTATTTGCAGAGTTCGCAAACAAGAAGAGAGTTGTGATCTGTCCATAGGAACGACCGTTTTACAAGTGGTAGCGAAGGATTCTCAGGGCGAAGCGTTTTTTCCGGCCAATCCAGGCCACCGGCAAAATATTGGATTCCTGCTAATTGATGGCTCGGGTCGACAGATAACGACGCTTTTGCATCAATTTGGAAGTTTTCATTGGTAAACGACCGGCTAACTGTTCAAGTGCTGTTTCCCCCTTGCCGGGGGAACATCAATTCAACGCTAAATCAGCGCCGATTCAATTCACGAAACAGTTCTGCTCGACTTGATTAACTTATTGCTTCTTTTTTAATTAAATCTTGCTAATCTCTTATTCGTATTATAGATTATTATTCTCGTGGATGGACGGCCTGATGAACTTGTATTTTCTTATTTTTAATTCGATGTCAACCGAAATAAAGAATGATTCAGAATTTTATTATTTCTAAGACAAATCTTACTTTGAAAAAATATACCGAACTGATATTTTACGATAAAATAAAAACGTCAGTTGTAGGATAATCTCTCTAAATTATGTGTTGTTTTCATATCATTTTCTTCAGTTGAAGAATATATTGCATTTTAACAAATTTTTTAATTTGACGTATTCAGCGCGCTCACAAACTGTACTAACCAATCAACAGCGTAAAATAATGGACGATCATACAATAACTATTACGTAACAAAATGCTCGATCGCGCTATGACTTTAGCAATAATTAAAATAAATCACCCTGGAATATCATTTTTATAGTGGCCTCTCAACGAAACCACTAGGTATTTTCAAAAGGTGGAAAGAGAAAGTTTACTCATGTTGCACATTCCAGTAATTAAAAGTACAAAGAGCTACCTCGGACCGGGAAAACCAACAGCGACGTGAAGGACAGGGAAGCGAAAGAATTTTCTACACTTTCAACGTAGCGTTTTACATCTTGCGCGCTCGCCTGCCCCTCCTTGGCGCAAGAGGAAAAAAATCTCATTAAAAGGCGCAAAAACGCAACGCTCGTGTGTGATTATGCCAGAGGCCGAAAATTGCGAATGTCGTAGGTACTATCGACATTATGCAGCTACACACACGCCCGCTCTCGTCGAGTTTCTCTCCACCTTCGCGGTCTCATTTACATTCTTCCTTTGTTACCGCAGCTTTCTCGGCTTATACCCCTCGCCCCTCGCTTGCCTTTCTACTCACCCTCTTTTTTTTATCTTGTTTACATTTACTTTCACACTTTTCTATTATTCTGGCGCTCATAATCATTTTTTATTTTACCCTATACTTTTGACACGATTATTTCTTTCATGGACACCTTTTCTTTGCTTTTGAAGTATCGCTCGAACGATTCTTCTTGCTGGAAGTACTTACTTGAGAATCGACTGTGAACTTACGTGTTTTTCATACATGCAAACAAGAAATGTTATTGTATGAGGTTTCATAAAAGTAAGACAATATTTTTTTTTAAGTTACAAGTTTTAAATTACATTGATAAAATATCTTTTTTTCTATAAGGCAGAGAGGCCTAATTAATGAATAAAACGAATTCATTGTTTACATATATACAAGCTACTTTTGTCCTACTACTGTTAGATAAAATATTTACTATTTATTTATTTCAGTAACTTGAATCCAAACGAAGAATGATTTTGTCAAACTAATTAACTTAATAAGAGGTTGACGACTTTCTACGCCGACCGATTGATCCAAAGAAAATTTTAATTGGTATCATTTTTTCACACTGGAATAACTAAAACATCTGAATTATTTTTCTTTGTTCTCTTAATGAAACGTTTGGACGAAGTAATCATACTTATCAAAACATAAAATTTTCAAATGTAACAATTACGTATTCATGTGAAGTACGAATGATTATCTTAATTATCACGAAATATCCTTTATAATATTTAAAAGTAGCTACAAAATACCGTGGATGAAGAATTGTTTCAATATCTATTTACAAATGACGAAAAGAATGTTACTACTTCTTATCGGATATCTAACATTTTATTTTCTTTTTCTGTTCATCAACATTTTCCATTCTATCATTTTCTTTTACTTCTTTTCTCTCGTAGCCTTTCACCGCGATCTACTATTGAATTTTTCACTTTCAGTCTCTCTATCTCCCCCATTTACGATGGGCCGCGCCTCTCTTTTTCTACTCCTTCCTTCGAAGTTGCATTCTATGTCTTACGCAAAATCATTCTCCCCCCTCTTATTCCTTGACGCTTTCGCGCATCTACATATCAAATCCCGGAGCTCCCTATAGGTATGTTGGAAAAGAACGATAGAACGTACCTATAGTGCGATTCGACTTCAATTCAGATTTGTTCGTGCTGTTCTCCCTTGCTACTTTCTTCCTCTCTTCTTATTTCGCATTATACAAAGCATGAATGTTCCTGTTACCGTATCATTTTATATTCTGGAAAGCGTACGCTTGAGGAAGGTACAGATTTTTCATTTTACACTTTTTTTTTTAATTTAACATTTACATAAGGTGGAGATGAATAATCTTTTCATATCGAGTGGCAACGTACGTACGATTTCGAAAAGACAAAATTTATTTTATTGCGTAATTGTATAATGGAAAACTAAGACACCGCAAAAATTCCGATAGATCGCACAGTTAAAAAATATATATTTTCAACTTCATTCGACATTTGATTTAAATAGTTTATTTTATTTCATTACTAGTTTTTTATACGTCAAATTGTTCTTGGAGCATCATATTTTCAATACTTCGAGAACCTCATCAGAAGTGCTAAGGCGTAGTTACAAAGAGCTGTTCGTTTGAATAATTAAATGAATGGCATAAAGAAAATACAAACTCTTGAATAATCCGTTCACTATTGAAAACATTCATGACAATACAGCCGGCAATATTGACTCTTGAGAATATCAACGAAGTAGAGCGAAAATCTTCTCTACAAGAAAAAATTCTAGGTCATTACCAATATTGTAGCCGAGTGAGTAATTGAAGGTCCTTACGTAGTAAGCATTCAAGTACCTTAACTTAGAAGATGGATAATTCTCTGATTAAGTGTTGCAATTATACCGCGTAGCTTGTCACTAACCCTTTATCGCGCAAGAATCTTCAATTGAAAAGCAACAAAGTTGAGGCGTCAAAGCAAGAGTGTAAAGCTACAATGAGCAAGGCAGAAACGTTTGTAGAAGACAGCATAATCCACCTTACCTTCATTCCTCGCGTGTGTGTACTCGCTCGCTTGGTACTCTTAACACAACGTAAGCAGTTTCTCGTTTGCGCAGCGTTTCGCGCGAGGGAGGACTTTCCCCGCCGTAGACGTTCAAGCGAAGCGCGCGCTGCTTGATTGATTGACTTGCCAGTTTGTTTAGCCGCCCGGCTTGCCTCTAGTCACCCCCTCCCCCCTCTCACTCTCTGAAAATTTAAAATTGTAATGTTAGAGTTGCGAGCTTATGAATCTATGGAAGCGATTGTGGAATTAAGAAGATTGACTGAGTGTAGCGTTGTTGTGTAAGGCCGTAAATCAATTTTGAAGGAGTGAATGAGGGGCGGGGGCAGGAATAATGTTCGCTTTGGAGAAGCTGAATATTGTTGTATTAATATTAGAGAGGTAATGTACGATAACGACATTGCTTGCCCTCGCAAAAATATTACGATAAATCATCAGTCGCTATCTTGCTGTTAATTAATAATTGCTCCAGTACGTTCAACGTTTTTGATACGATGGTGAGCTGGAAAATTTAACGAGAAAATACGATTACTTGAAAATGAACTCTACGGTGCAAGGGCATCGTATTCACTCCTTTAAAGACTCTCTCTCTCTCTCTCTCTCTCTCTCTCTCTCTCTCTCTCTCTCTCTCTCTCTCTCTCTCTCTCTCTCTCTCTCTCACTCAGTCACTCACTCACTCAGCTGCTACATTTTCCTTTGAAATTCGCTGAGCTTTACGTACACGGGCGAATTGAATTTCAAATAGTCTGACTTTTTACCCTCAACTTGGACTCATTATACAAATTCACAGAGGCATCGGGCCTTTTAAAAATACTTTCACTGAGAAGGAAAAAAGTGCGAGAGATTGGTACAAAGTGCAGGTAAAATCATGTGGAAAAGAAAGTAACATTGAAACTTCTTCGTGAAAATTTCATTCGCGCTTTTTTTATTTCTCGCTGCAAGGCTCGTTAGACTGCGTTGCTGCCGCTTCCTGCAACCTCGACGTCGTGGAAAACTAGTGACTTTTGCGTGCTCTCTCTGCGTGAAGAAATTTTTTCCTCTTCACTCTTGAACGAGAGTATACTGCGTCAAGTATAATGAATTTTTACATATGCCAGTGTCTGTAAATTATTTTTCTTCATTTTCTTTTCCCATTTGTTTTTATTAATTTCTTTAAATAACAAAGACGCGCTTATTAAATTCAACGCAAACTGAAGTTTGAGCACGATGATCTTAATTTCAATATTGCGTATTATATATCATTCAATGTGCATTATTCGCATCGATTGACGTGAAATTAATTGTTCGCATGGATATAATACTGCAAAGTAATTTGACAGTACGTGCGAGATTACAGATATTTAATTTTGAATTGAAACATTTTAATTATTATAAGCTGTTTGAAATTTGTTAGAATGTAATCGTGTTCAAGGCTAATTTATCGTACGCGTTGTGGTTTTAAAGTAATTTCAAACGCTCAGAACACACGGACAATCTAATCGCTACGACTTTGACAAGTCCCCTCTTAGCTCTACCTATAAACACACCTAAGAGTATGCATTTATATATCTGTCTTGATCGCTCTGGCAGTTATAATCTATTGCTTCTCCCAAAATCTTGATAGCTAGAGTAGCGAGTAGTTGAGCTTTTGCCGGAGGCACAGCCGCACAGAGCAAAAAGTCGCGTAATGGAAATTTCAGCGTGTATCAGCGCATGCTTACGTCACGCACATAGATACAGATTTGCACCTGCACGCATCCTGTGTAAATTAAACTCATCCACATACTTGAAAGATTTAAAACATTTTGGAAAAGTTCATAGAATAAGATTCGTTATCACACGTTAAATCTATAAGTCGAATTCATCGTTTTATGTTACAGTTTTCCGATCTGCAAAGAGAGGAATAGCGAGAGAGAAATAAAAGATGGTTCTTCCTTTAGGTAGAATTGCAGAATATCTCGACTTATATTTCTATCTCTTTAACTATAATGTATGCTCAGATGATCTC